AAGTTGTGTGTTTGCTTGTTTATTCTGTATAATTTGGATCATTCCAAAGAAAGAAAGAAGGGATGACCTTAACATACCTGGAGTAGGAAAAACTCCATATAATATTCTTGGAGGATATTTTACCGTACCCCTTTAGAACCGCAAAATTTTATGTTGCTACAATTCTAAAAATTCTTATTGGAATTGTGTTGTTGCAAGAATTTCATTGGAGCCTTTGTGAATTGAACTTAGCTTCTGTTCTTGAAGCACTTTGAAATTAGAAAGAGTGATATCTGGTTCTTACTTAAGAATGATGGACGTTGTAATTTGCTGATTTGTTTTCAAGATATGAGAAAGCTTTGTTGAAAGCTTTGAAATGGCTAACTAAAGCTAACATTTTCAAGATATGAGAAAAAGAGCTAACATTTTTTGGGATTTTCCAGACTCTAATGTCTTTGAATTGTATAATAATTCACAAGACATGTAGTGTCCCTTCCTCTTCTATTTAATTGCCACCTATCAAAATGATTAAGGAGTTATTTTCCTTAGGTTGTAGCCTATTGCCACGTTTTTGGAGAGGTGGGGTGGAAATTATTAATCTTTATCCACTTATTAGGTAATTAGGTAATGTCCTGTTACCTGGTAATTAACCAATTACCCGCGTAATTGAGAATTATCTGAAAATATTACTCATTTTTAATATATTTTATACATTATACTATCACGGTCGTATGGTACCTTGTATGGTACTACTCCATAAATATCGGGTATTATCGCTCGACCCGTGTTCTATCCCAAATCGGCAACCTTCAACGAAACTCATTTTCTTTAATTCATGTACCATTTATCCTTCATGACACTTACTTATCGCTTGTTATAAATAGGATGAATACGTTAATCTCAAGATAATCTCATCCCCGAGTCTACGTCGATTAACTGAAGACGAAACTTTAACGTACGAAAATGCGAGATGTAACATCCTTCCCCCTTAGAAACATTCATCCTCGAATGTTTAATTCCCCGGGATCTATATAACTTTGGTAGAGTCACCTTTGTAAAAACACTACTACCAACTCTCCCTGTTGAAGCTTAATAATTCAACGCCACATAGTACCACAATCATCAATAACGACAATGGCCTCACACGACCATTTACAATAACTAACACAAGAATCCGTACATGTACCTTAAGGTTGTGATGTATCAGTTGGACCCTTGTCTGGAGGAGGAAATAAGTAGGGATATCTAGACTTCATGTCTTCTTCGGCCTCCCAAGTTATTTCTTCCACATTGTTGTTTCTCCAAAGTACTTTCACCGAATCTACGTCTTTAGTTTTCAATCTCCGAGCCTGTCTGTCTAGTATAACAATGGGAGTTTCTTTATATGATAGCTGCTCTATGACCCGAACGTCGTCAAATGACACAATTCTGGAAGGATCTCTGATACATTTATGTAGCATAGACATATGAAAGACTGGATGTATAGATTCCAAGTTCGAAGGCAAGTCCAACTCATATGCTACCTGGCCTACCTTGCGTATGATCCTATATGGTCCAATGTACCGAGGTCTAAGTTTTTCCCCTTTTCCAAACCTCATAACTCCGTCGATTATCTACATAAGACTTCTGACGACTTTGAGCTACTAATAACTTTTTCTGTATAAGCTTAATTTTCTTGATTGCCTGTTGTACCAATTCTGGTCCTACTAATGTAGTTTCTCCAATATCGAACCATCTTATAGGTGACCTACACTTCCATCCGTAAAGAGCTTTGTATGGAGCCATCTGAATACTGGAATGGTAGCTATTATTATATGCAAATTCAATAAGTGGCAGATGATCGTCCCAGCTACCTTTGAAGTCTATCACACAAGCTCGTAACATATCCTCAAGTGTCTGAATAGTACGCTCACCCTGTCCGTCTGTCTGGGGATGAAATGTTGTATTAAGACTTACTTGAGTCCCCAATCCTTTTTGGAAAGACCTCAAGAAGTTAGCTGTAAATTGAGCTCCTCTATCCGAGATAATAGAAATAGGGATACCATGCAGTCGTACTATCTCCTTAATATAAAGTCTTGCATAGTCCTCTGAGGAATATGAAGTTCTAACGGGCAGAAAATGGGCTGACTTTGTAAGCCTATCAACAATCACCTATATCGAATCAAACTTATGCTGGGTACGAGGTAAGCCTACGATGAAATCCATATTGATTACTTCCCATTTCCAAGTCGGAATCTCCATAGCCTGCCATAATCCACCGGGTTTCTGATGCTCAATCTTAACGACAGTTAGGACACTGAGCAACAAACTTTGCTATATCCTTTTCATTCCGTCCCACCAATATACTTCCATGATATCATGATACATCTTTGTCGCTCCTGTATCGATAGAATAACGAGAATAGTGAGTTTCCCCTATAACCTGCCGACGCAGCCGTGTAACATTCGGGACACATAATCATCCTCGATATCTGAGGACTCCAACTTCTGTAATCTCAAATGGTGTCTTCTCTTTCTGAGAGGCGGTATCCCTGTGAGCACCTAATTTTTGCCCTACATGAAAATAACTCCTAAAAAATAGACCAAAAATAATTTTAATTGATTTTTAGGAGTTTTTCTTTATTTAGTTGCATTCCATGCATTTTTGATATTTTAAAATCATAGAAAAATGATTAAAAAAATTGTCACGTTTTAAGTTCATGCCATATTTAGATTCAATCTGCATGTAGGAATTAATTTTATTAAGCAAAAAATCACAAAAATGATCATATTTAGATTTTAGCCTTTAAAATTAGTATTTTTTTCTTTAGTTTTAATTTAATTTTAATGTTAAAAATAAATAAAGAATTTTAATTTCTACAAAAATAGATTAATTTAAGATCTTAATTAATTTAATTAGAATTTAAAACCAAAGAAAAAAAAACAGGAAAAATATATATTTTGGTCTTGTTTCTTTTAAAATTGGGTCAATTCCTAAAATAATCAAATTAATTTTTAAGACTCAAACCCCTTCAAGCTCATTACCCCCGTCCTTGACCCTAGACCCCTTCCCATAAATACACATTAAGAGACATTAAAAATACCTAGGGACAAATATCAGATTCCCCTCTTCCTTTCCCAAAATGAACAACCGCGCACCCCCATCCCAATTCTCTGAAGAACACCTCGCCTCTTCACATATCAAGAGATCCCCAAAACCGAGACCTAAACTAAAAACAAAAAAGGTCGATTCCCAAAAAGAGAAAAGGGAAAACCACCTAATCCTTAAGCGAACGCCTCCCCCATTCTAATATCTTCTTTTGTTCTTAAAAAATCAAAGAAAAAATACATACACACAGTCACAAAGAAGAGGCAGAGAACGAATCCTCCTCATCTTCCATGGTTGTCGTTCCAAAACTCCAAGAAACAAGCAGCAACCCTTTTCGCCAACCCCCACTTCCAAATTTCCAGCCAAATAACCTTCAAAATACCATTGTTGCAGTCCAAAACCCAGCTCAAAAATAGCCGAAAACAACCTCAAATCAGCTGGAGTTCAGCTTCGTCGTTTTGGATTAGTTCGAGTTTTCCGGCGAGTTTCGAGCGCGATTTGGAGTCGAGTTTCGCGGTTACGTTCGAGTTGCTCGCTGTTTCAAATTTTGATTGAAGTTGTGGTTTTCTTTTGTTGGTGTAATTGCCCGAATCCCTTTATTAATCGGAAATTTGTTGTTCTCGGGTTCGTTTTTGTTTCTTACTCTCTTTTTTTTTTTTGGTAGGATTAAAAATATGATGTTGATGGCTTAATTTATTTATGGCTCTTTTTAATAGCCAAAATGGCTAATGTTCTTGTTGTAGTATTTTTTTTTCCTTCTCCTTTTGTTTTTATGTACTCCATTCAGTGAAATGTTAAAAATGATGTTAGTTTCTCTGGAAAAGTTCCATATTTGCTTACTAGCTGAAACTCTTATTTCAATTAACATTGTATTAGTATTAATTTGAGAGGATTCTAAAACACTAATTTATTAAGGTAGTAGTAGTAAACTGGTCTTTGTTGATTTTGCTGTTTGTTTTACTAATTGTTTGAATTAATGTTTTGTTGATTATTTGTTTGGTTTTTGGTGGAAAGTTCAATTTATTTATTTTTTGGTTTTTTCATTTTTGTGATTATTTGGATTACAGTATGGGGTTAGAAGATTAACGTGGCTTGGTGAAAGGGAATTAATCAAGAGAATTTTTCCAAAGCACCATCTTTTAGTCCTAATTATCAATTAATAGAAACCCTTTGCTATATTACGTCCTATAGATATCTTTTATGCAATTATATAATGTATTTAATGTATTTAAGGTAGTGTATTTAATAATACAACAAAAATTAGCGGCGTACAAAAAGGAAATCCAGCTATTTCTGAAATGTATTTAACTGTATTCAAACGTATGTAGCGCTAAATACGTAACGTATCTGCGCAATATCTGGGTCGACGAAGATGTTAAAAACGGAAGGAAATCAAATCAATTCTGATTTTCCCTAATTTTACTCAACAAACTTAAAAGTTATCCCATCAATTTGTATTCTTTTCAAAGTCAAAAATACAGAAACGTGAAAGAAGCGAAGAAACAGAGCAGCTTGCTTCTATATTGTGCGATTTTCTTCTCCTCCTTATCGATTGCGACAAATTATATACAGAAGAAGGTATAACTCTTCTATATATATGGCAAGCTTGACAGTTTTGTTGCGTCATTCTGGAAAGTGGAACGATGAGGGCAATTATATCGACTTTTCAATTGAGGGAATACTGATTAAGGAGTATGCTTCCTTTAATGATCTAGTTGGTTCAATTTCTAATCAACTGGGTATAGATTTGAGCACAAATACCATTAAAATACAATACAATGTTGAAGGCAATCGCACGCCAATGGAAATACACAATGATATGGGTTACAGAGTGTATGTAAAATTGNCATTGTGCTTGCATATGGCATCTATGGAATAACGTATACAAGAAATTCAAAAAGAGTCATGCCAAGTTGAGTGAGATATACTTCTCGATGGCAAAAGCATACACACAAACTGAATTTGATAGTCTGATGGAGAAGATTGAGAAGGTAGACATTAGGGTGAAAGAATACTTAGAGTTAGCTGGTTACGAAAAGTGGGCCNTGTATCCTCTGTGCATTACAACTATGGAAAAAGAGCTTATCTCTGGAGATGGTTTAAATCAAGGCGACATTGTGCAGATAGACGAAGCAGTTCAAATGTACGATTCTGATACAGATTATACACTAGCTATAGAACTTGCCAATTCAGGAGAAGCGATTGGAGTGTTCGAACTCCACAAGGATTGGATAATTTCAAAAACTAATCAAAAGGAGGTTATGGCTGGACAAGTGTATACGGATAAGGCTACATTGAAAGAGGTGATGAATAATTATGCTATAGCTCAAAGGTTTCAATTCCGTGTTGATCAATCTAATGCTGTCAGGTTTGATGTTTGTTTAACTTTGTTGTATTTAGTTGTAGTTGTGTGTTTCCTCCAGATGATGAACACCTTTGAAAAT